CAGCCGCCGAAAGGGAAAATATATCGGCCCAATAAATATGGCGGAAAGCATAGGAGGAAGTTCACTTGGAAAACATCTATTTGAGGTTATTAATTTGGAAAGAATCCTGGAGCCAGTCTTTTTCTGTTTTTCCCCATTTCTAAAGGAGGTAATGTCTTAAATTACGCTCTCGTACATCTTCGATAGAATGAAAACATTATTTTTGGAAATAGCTAAAAACGGTTTTTGGTGAGCTTAGAATTGGAAAAAAAACTATAGCAGAAATTATATTAATGTTTGCAAATTTTTTTTGTTTTTCTTGTCTTTGTGATTTTTGTGTATGAATATACAGAGTAACAATATAAAAAAACAGTGTGTGCACGGCCTTGAAATTTTACTCCCAACGCGCGTAAAAAACTTTTACTTTAAAAAGCAGATAGTACAGGGCGGGTGTCTCATTTTGGTTGAAATCATACGGTATCTCCGTTATTAGTAAAGATAGAAGGATGCGGTTTGCACAAATCTTTGCCACTTTTTTGTCAAACGGAATATGCTGTCAACAAAATTTTCATAGCCCTCTTCGCTTCTGACCTACAGGGTCTTTTCGAAAATTTTTCAATTTGGGACAGACCCCGTATCTCCGTTATTATCGAGGTTATTATGGATGATATCGAGAAGGTGAAAACTGATTCTTGCAGAAATTTTTACGTAGAATACAGCGGAGTAGTCTATTTTTCTACGAAAAAAATATTTTTGAAAATATGAACTAAACTTGTGTTTTTTTTTTTAATGAAACACCCTGTATATTTATAAATCATATGATCCCCTTGCTATGAGCTTCTCAAAAATATATATCACTCTATATTTATTTTCACTATTTACGGCAATATTTAAAATATATCATTTTCTCATTAGTAGGCGATGATAAATAACAAGAAATCAAAATGGTATTTACTAAAATAGTCATACACTTATTAAAATTTTGTTTGGGATTGATATATTTTACTTTTGAACTGTTAACACTCAATCCCTGAATATATTTTTCTTTTTTTTTAACGGAAATTATTATAACCTGAAGGGTTTGCAAATGCCTAAAAGTATTTAAAAAAAATACCTACCATTATTAAAGAATTTTCCAGGTGTTCGACATTGTGTTAGTTGCCACGATATATTTCATATTTCAAAAATCCCCAAAATCAGAAACCGAGAAAGGACAAATCCAGGGATTTGTTATTCCAGTTTGACCAGGAAGGCTTGAGTTAAAACTTATCATACAGTCTCAAGGCTTTGACAAAAGGCAGAATCTGAGACGGTTTTACAAAAGTTGGTTTATGGCACGAATATTTGTGGTCTAGGCGCACTCAGTGATGAGGTGTTCTGGTGTTTTCCCATTTTCCCCACAGAATTTGCATTCGCCGTTGGTTCTTACTTTCAGTCTACTGAGGTATTCATTGAGGAGTCAGTTTCTATTAAAGGCTGTTAAAAACTCCGTGATAATCCGAAGATTATTCTTACTTAAATCAAGGAAAATCTTTGATTTTTCTCGGTCTTAGGTTCTGAGAAATTTCTTCGAGTATCTTAGACCGTTGGAGAATTCCCATTCCAGCAGTTTTTTTGTAGAATTCAATAACGTAGAATTACGGTCGTTGAATTGATTTTTTTTCTCAAATGTTTAATATCCCATTTGTCTTCACTTATTGATTACCCTTAAGGCTTTCATATCGAGGTACTTATTCTCTTTATTATCCTTCCTCTCTATCATCCTTGTTTAAGTTCTTAGGCTTGAATATCGGCAGCCAGGCGGCGCTTGCAAACTTTTTAATATCTAGCAAAAAAACGCTAAAAAGGACCGTATCACGTAATCCCTTCGATATTAACAAGGGTTTTTTGCCCGAAAAACACAAACAAAAAGAGATTTTCGCTCGTTTTACATTTATAATATAGGTTTACAGAAGACAAATAGCGGCGAATATGTGATGGGAAACGCTTAAAAAGCTTTAAAAGGACTTGCACGATATTGGATGTTTGATGTATATTATTTAGAATTAACGAGAATATCGTTTGAAGTGGTGCTTTCTACATAGTTCTACACAGCGGCGAAGCTTCCATTGATGCGGGTGATGCGTCGCATCCCTTCAAAATATTGTAGGAGATCTCCTATAATAAATTAATAAAATTCTCAGTAAATTTATTTTACTTGATTCATAAAAAAAAAATATTGTCGCAATGACCGATTTTGAGTGCGGCTGTAAAATAGAAATAATTTTGCAATCATTCTTCAGTTCTATGGTGTATTCAAAAAAATTAAAAACTATTGAAGAAGGACCTCCAAAACATATTTTAAATAAAATACTAAATTCATATGTCAACTTTTGACATTTTTGCTTACAAAAAAATCGTATTTTAAATTTCAATCTAGAGTGCCATTGGCTGTGGTAAAAACACGAATTTTTATTCAAGGAATCTTGAAAAAATAGATTTGATCATCTAATGTTTTTCATGTCTTGACCTGGCCGGTTAAAATATACCCAAATCGTTTTTTTTAATAATATCTCAATTTTTTCAAATGAAATAAGGGTGGCATTAGCATATTTGGAAAAATCATTTTATTACGAATAATTTGGTATTGGTATTTTGAGTCAAATCACTTGGTATTTTGAGTCAAATTGTCGTTATAAACCGCATGTTACAATTTCAAATAAACCATCTGCGAAAATGTCAAAAGTTCACATATGAAATGTCATATATTCAAAGTGTCATTTTCTATCGAATATAGTAAAAAAATACCGAGGGTGTCATTTAAAAATCAAAAGTTATTGTTATTTCCGGTGAAACAGAAAGTGACAAAAAACAATTGAATACGTCAATCATTTCTAATTTATCTCATATATTAACATACCAAATCTCGAATTTTTATCTGAAAAAATAAAAAAGTTATAGGAGGTGAGCCACTTTTGAGACGCACCCGGTATACTAGGATACGCTCAATATCAGTTTACGGACTGTAAGTAGAAAGTAGTAAAAGTAGTCGTGACAACATTGCGAAGTACATACGTCAAATACAATATAATCGAAAAACATGACGTCATCAGCGATGGCTATGAAATGAAGATCGCTCCAAGCCATTTGGGCGTTGTTTTATTTCGATCATACGGTATTTTGATGACATGCACGCCAACTTTTATTGATTTTCTTATATATTAGGTATTTTTCTTTCTATTATTTTGTACTGTCAGCTTTCATAACGCAAACAATCGATTACCTTCAAATTGAGTGGTAAAGCCGCATTGACAGTTGTCACTTGAGCCTAGTTAAGTGAGACGGACAGATCGTGCAAGAGAATGAAAACACGCAACTGGTAATTTGATTGAGATAGAGAGGGTGAAAGGAATATTGAAGAAAAAATATCGATAAAGACTGGTTCTTGGGGAAAAAGTAGATATTTCGGGACCTGATATATAAAACTTGTTCAAGAAAAATTGGTTTGTGTAGATAATATATTTATTTTAAGTTTATTTTTTTCAGAAATTTTTGTTCATAACAACAAAAGCTTCAGAGTCAATTCTGTTTTTCGACTAACTGCTAATGCTAAGACAAGATTATTCAAGTTTTGATAAATAATGACCATAACCATGTATAAAAATAAATTAATCATATACCAGGTGCGTCTCGAAAGTGGCTCACCATATATTTCTACTCTATTCGAAAGAAAATGACACTCTGAATAGAATGTCAACTTTTGACATTTTCGCATATTATGGTTTATTTTAAGGCTGTACTTAAACTGGCGTTAAACGGTAGCCTACTGAAATGCCGTTAATAGGTATGACGTCGTTGATGTGACGCACTTGACGGCTTTTTAATGCTTTGGTTAAAATGCCGTCGAACGGTGGCGTACTAAAATACCGTTAATCGTTAATGCAGAGTAGGCTACTGATTAATATTTAATAATTTGTAATGTAATGTTGTCCAAAATCCGTCATGGCTTATTCTGAATAAAATTAACTTGGAACGGTCTATATGTAGGTAGACGTATATGTTGCCGTTGTAGGTTTGAAAATGTATCTGCGATAAAATGTAATATATGGCATTGGTTTTCAGGTTTTTATTGCAAATTATAAACTGACAACTTAAAAATAATACTACGTCAACTTAAAAATAATAATGCTACAGATAGCATTCTCTGCAAAACCACAGTTTTGATTTAGGTCGCTTAGTCAATCCTGCACAACGGATATGTCTCCAAAGAAGGCATCTACTGCAACAAAGTGACATATGATTTTTCTGCGTGTCTTCACTGCACACAGAACAAAACCAACTTTGTTGAAGTCGTTTCTGCTCAACTAGATTGGTTATTTTTTCAAAGGCTTTCTCGGTGCAAAAACTTCTAAAAATCGTAATTTACATTATTAGTTATTAATTTGGTAATTATTAGGTATTGCTAGACTTACCTTGTTATGTGGATATCAACAGCCTCATCAAGAACGGCATGTGATATTTCTTCGGGGCGCATTTTAAGGTCTACAGTTTCAAGAAATTCCCATTTGTGATGTCTCTAACGATGTTACGATCCTTAACGAAGCAATTCAGGATTACATTTGTTTTTCATGATAGGATTGTTTAGCAAATGCTACAGTACATCTTTTCTTTTTCTTTGGTAGTCCTATGACTGTTAAGTCCTCTCCTTTTGGACGTCCTCGTTTTTTTATTGAAACAGGCATCTTAATTGTTGTCAAAGCGAAATCATTGACTTCAACTATTTGATGGGACTGGTTTTGTTGACGTCATTTAAAACTGATCACTAACATTGTTGGAAAGTTGATGCGCTTCATCTCGTGTCATTTCCTCCTCTATAACCAGCTCGTTACAAAACTCAGGTGCTTCCACAGGTGACCGACCAAGAGTTGATGTATTTCTATTATCTAATATGAGCGCTTCACTCATATTGTTTCTGTCTTGAAGGTCCGTCTCGTCACAAACCTCAGAGTGTTCCACAGAAGACTGATTTTTACTTTCTGCATCATCATAATTTATATGTAGCATCTACTGCAAGAAATTCTGGAAAAGCCTTCATTGTACTTTTCATGTTTGGACTTTGAATGAAAAGTCCTCTGAAATTATTGTCTTCGTCTCGCAAAACAGCTACATTGGCACCTGAAAACAGAGTAGTTATTGGGACTAATAAGACGATAATAGAATATTTTAGTTTACCATATTTAGCTTTAAGTATATTTAAGCAGCCATCTAAGTTTTCTTTTCTTGATTGATCGGATATCTTCATATTTGTTAAATCTTGTAAAGTAACAATTTTACCAGTACTTTCTTGAACTTTTTGCTGTATCATTTTTCTATTGGCCTTCATATTCAAATAATCCTTGACGCTTTCCTTCATGTTACTGGAAAGTTTTCTTTGGCTAGGGTTATATGCATGTAGAACCTACAAAATATATCTTTTATGAATAAAATACTGTTCAAGCAAGAATTCTAAAAGCATACTATATGTCAACTAATCTGTAAACTTACCTTCGAAGTGACATGATTGTGCTTCATTTGAAGCATAATTTGAACCGATGTTACCTCGAGTGCTTTTCCATCAGACGATGCTTTGAATCTTACATGTACTGGGCAATCTTCTTTAAATGTCTAAGACTGTCGATTTTTTTCCCACCGCCCTTAAACTTCTTTCCACCGTGATTACATGCATATAGAAGTTGATAATAAATCAAAGAGCTTTCTATTGGTCTCACAATTTTACTGCTTGCAATCGTACGGGCATCTCGTTTCCAAAATGTTGTGTACGTATTTTCACCAAGTTCCTCAATCGCTTTCTTTGCGTCAGCGAATGAGCTGAACCTATCCCCAATTTTCAGCATGCTAATTTCAGTCATGAAAAATAATTAGGTACCTAACTAACCTAAAAATGTTTATAGATAAATTAACAATCAGAAAACTAACTGAAACACTTACTCCATCCTGAACCGATAATATCCAGATGTACACCTTAATTAAAATCAACTTATAGCACTTAGCACAAATTGTTACTACAATAATAGTGCAAACGCGACGAAAAAAACATACCAAAAGGGCAACGGAAAACGGAACACAAATAGATTAACGGCATTTTAGTACGCGACCGTTCGACGGCATTTTAACCAAAGCATTAAAAAGCCGTCAAGTGCGTCACATCAACGACGTCATATCTATTAACGGCATTTCAGTAGGCTACCGTTTAACGGCAGTTTAAGTACAGCGTTATTTTAAATTGTAACATGCGGTTCATGTGACAATTTGACTCAAAATACCAAGTGTGTGGTACCAAATTAATCGTAAAAAATGCTTTTTCCAAATATACTAATGAGTCGCCATCATTGTTCCATTTGAAAAAATTGAGATAGGATTAAAAATATGATTTGGGCATTTTTTAACCGGCGAGGGCAAGACACGAAAAACAAGATCAAATCTATTTTTCCAAGGCTTCTTTTTTAAAAATTTGTGTTTTTAACACAACCGTTGCACTCTAGATTAAAATTTAAAATACTGTTTTTTTTAGCGAAAAGGTCAAAATTTGGCTAGTTTTTTTTCCACAAATTCCACCAAAACCGTTCGCCTACTTACCACACATATATTTAGGTAGATATCTTCATCACCAACACTTAATCAACCATTTCCAATTATCATGTAGAACGAATAGCAAAGAATCTTTGTTCAAAACATCATTTTTCTAGACCAGTTTATATCTCGTTTATATATAGCAAGAACTTTCGTATTTTGCTGCTAGATTTCTCTATTTGTATTATTTGTCTAAGATTATAACTCTATTTGAAATAATCTAAAACTCAAGGCAACATTTCACCATAGATTAATAAACGACACATTCAACCCAAGAATGTTAAACATTTTGAACTTTATTTATTTCAATCAATATTAGGGCCCAGTTCACACACAGACACAGACACACAAAAAGGGAAATTGAGTAGAAACCGTTTTTTTTTCTATACACTCTGTCGGAAAATGTAGAAAAACGCTGGCCGATTTTCTGCCATAAAAAGCATTTGGTTCAAAGAGGAAAATCCAGGTTTGGGAAAAGTTCATAAAGTTTGATAAAATATTGAATTTCCTATAATTGAAAGAGCTTGAAACTTGATTTTCTTAGGGTTAAAGTTTTGCTACATTAAAATATTTTTGACGATGGACTATCAGATGTACTGTATGTATGTTGTTATGTAATCTTATGTATGTTTTGTGTTTTTATAATAGTTGTAGATTGTAGATTGTATGGAAAGGAGAAAGTTAGGTTAGGTTAGGTTGTAAGTTCTGAGAAATTTCTTTGCGTGTCTTAGACCGTTGGAGGATTTCCTTTCCAGGTTAAAGATGGAGTCTTCCAGGTTTTTGAGTTGTGATTTAAGTTGGTTTCTACTTGGGAAGCAGAACGCTACTGGTCCAGTTAGTGGAGTGTTCGGTCCTTTTCTAGATCGTTTGCTTTTTTATTACCTTCTATCCCTTTGTGAGCTAGCACCCAGAGTAGGAGGACTTTATTGTCTTTGCCTAATTTGTTCAGCTTCCCTATACATTCTTTAAACAACTTCAAATTGATGGTTACTGAGTTGATTGCTCTTAATGCTGCTTGACTGATAAGATGGCTATTTCTTATTTTCGATAGTTCCTATCTAAGATAAAATGTACTCATCTTTCGATAGCCTACATTTCTGCCTGAATGATGCTGGAGTATTGCCCAGTGGTTAAATTTAGTATAAACTAACATTAAAAATTCAAAATCGTTTAACTGAAAATTGGAATAAAGTCGCAAAAGCCTCGATTAATTAGGAAAATTTATTTTTTATCAAAGCCTACTCCAAATTGGCGAAACGAAAATCAACGAGGTGCAAAACGAATTGGTATTTTCAACATTCGAAATATATTCGTTTTTATACATGTTACGTTATTTTCCAGTTCATTCTAGCGTTAAATTATTAAATATATAATATAATAATGTATTGCGGTTTATTTAAATGTTCTTTTGCCGTGATTTTGCTTATGTGACGTTTGCTGAGGTTAAATACAATATTACGTATATTTTTGCTATTTACTAATTAAGTATTTATTTTTGAAAAAATATACTTTTCCAAAACAACTTGATTTTAATACTGGGTGCATTTCAAAAGTGTCTCACCCCTATAACATTTGTATTTTTTTAGATAAAAAACGAGATTTGGTATCTTAGTATATGACATAAATTAGGATTGATTGACGTATTAAATTGTTTTCGGTCACTTTTTGTTTCACCGGAAATTATTACAACTTTTTATTTTTAAATGGTACCTTCGGTGAATGACACTCTCAATAGAATTAAATATCATCTGTCAACTTTTGACATATGTACTCGCATATGGTTTATTTGAAATTGTAGCATGCGGTTCATAACGACAATTTGACTCGAAATATCAGGTGTGTGGTACAAAATAATCCATAAAAAATGCTTTTCCAAGTATGCTAATGATCCACTTTTGTTCCAATTGAGATAATCCGCAAGCCGGCCGGTTCCGAAGGCCGGATCCGCAGGCCGGATCTTTCGATGTATAGAGGGCTATTGAAATTATAAAACAAAAATCTTAAACTAGTCAGTGGCGTTGACTTTAAAAAGCACCAAAATATTTCAGTGCTGGACACCAGCACCAAATTTGGCACACAGCTTCTACACATAATACGGCTTCAAAAATTGCCGGGAGACAATCTCTGGCATGTCCGGATCATCCTTAGATGACGTCATCAAAATGGCGGACAAAATTTTTAGCATAAAATTGGATTATCACTTGTAACTTTGTTAATATTTAACCGATTTTAAGTTTTAATAGCTCATTTCAAAGCTTGAATAATTAGCTAAAAAAAACTATATCCAGTCTTTTTGTAGGAGGGGTAGTTTTCACGCATCCCTTAAAATTGGAATAAATAAATGAAAAATGACGGTTTTATTCTAAACAAATTGAAACGTTAAAACAAAACAAAAAAAATGTTTATTACGTATTATACTACTCTTAATTTTAACTATTTTTTGCCCCCCTCCCCATCGACACATCCCCCCCCTTGCATTGTCTCTGAAATGTTACAAATTTGTTTTCATAAGCACAATAAAACTTTTTTTGAAGAAACAAAATTTACATAAAATAAATATTTTTTAAATATTTATTTTTGTTAACGAACGGATTGTGGTAAGAAAAATTTCAATACATGATGTTATTAAAAGAAATAACCTACCTTTACTCAGTCAAAAAAACATCTAAATTAAGTCAAAAGATAAACAAAAAATCGTCGATCTTCGACAGTAATAAAAAAGGACAGTAATATTTTCAGTAGACATTATATTGCTAGTCAAGTTAGACACTTGGACATTAATTAATTTTTTGGCAAGGAGAACAGTTCGTATCCACCATTTCGGAATTCGCAAAATTGCAAAAACTCTCGAAGAAATCTGACATTGTTTCATTCATTATTTAGACAACAAAAATTATCGACCAATTTGTTGAGGTACCTAAAGTATCTACACTAATTATTGATGGAGCTGCCCTTGTTTATATGTTGATACCTCAATCAAGCAGAACATTCCAGCAGTATAGCGAAAACATCGTTCAATCTTATATTCGGTCAAGACTTGCAACGGTAGATAGGGTCGATATTATTTTTGATCAGTACCTATATCCCGGAAAGCTTAAAAACAGGGACTTCTACAAAGATCTTCAAAGAAGTACTTATGTATCATTCAACTAGCACTGAGGAAACTGCAAATGAAGCAAGGGGAATTCTTTGCGTTTGCCAACATAACCGTTCCATCGAACATATTCCGCCAACGTGTGAAGTTTTGCTAAATCATCTTAAAACAGCAATTCTGCAGTGTTTCGTGTGGAGAAATTGCCTTCAACGAGATGCAGAGCAGCCAAATCCAGGCGAATGGGGGTGGAAGAAAGTTGGGGATCAATTTGAACCACTTTGGTGTACAAGTTCCGATATTTCAATGGAAAAGTTACAAGAGCTTATCGCTTGTAAATGCACCCAAAGATGTACTTCAAAATGTCGTTGTGTAAAAAGTACCTTAAGGTGCACAATGCTCTGCAGGTGCGAAGGTCAATGTACCCGCGAATAGTTTTGTTTTATTTGGGAATATTGTACATATTATTATTAGTTATTATTTTTAATTATAAGTGATAACGAAATTAAGTTAATTTTAAGTTATTTTTAGTTTAAAAATGTATCCTCCCAAGTTATTTTTAGGAACATTTTTGGCTATTTTCTCGGTTATTTTTTAGGAGAATTCAGAAGAACTTTCAGGGCTGGACAATACAATGCTCTGTAAACGCGAAGGCCATGTATCCGCGAAGTTTTCTTTTGTTTGGGAATATTGTACATATTATTATTAGTTACTAATTTTAATTATAATTAATATGAAGTTAAGTTAATGTTAAGTTATTTTTAGCTTGAGAAATATATCTTCCGAAGATAGTTAAAATTAAGGGTAGTATACGTAATAAACAATTTTGTTGCTTTAACGTTTCAATTTGTTTAGAATA